ACTGTGGTTGGAATTCAACTTTAGAAAGTATAAGCGAAGGAGTACCAATGATATGCAAGCCATATTTTGTCGACCAAAAGATGAATGCAAGATACCTGACCCATGAATGGGGCATAGGCATAGAACTGGATGAAGTGATGCAGAGAACAGATGTTGCAAAAGCTATAAGAAGAATCCTAGTTGAAGAAGAAGGCTCAAGAATGAGGCAGAAAGTGACTGCTCTCAAGGAACAGATCAAACATTGCATCAAGGAAGGTGGTTCTTCTTACAATTCTTTGAATGAGTTAGTGCAGTTCATATCATCCTTCTGATTTTCATACCAGGGCAGTGATAGCTAATAAAGATTTAAGCCTACTTTGCATTTCTTGATGGGAAGGGGATTTTCATTGGTTTGGCAGGGAGCCAACATTTTACAGATTTATCGAGTTTTGGATTAACAGGATATTGGATTCTCTATTGCACATGAATTGGCATCAGATGCCAAAATTAATTACTGGTTAGAATCCCTATCGAACTCCCTTCTTCAGTTTATTGAGCAATTTGTACTGGACTATCTCAAGCAATTTCAATAAATTTCTGTCTCGTTATCAGAATATAAATTTAAATTGATAAATATGAACTAAATATTAAATAGCAATATAATTGTCACATCATTAGTTTGTCAACCGTTGCTTAACCTATAATAGAGGTTTAAGAAATCCAGAAAGAAAATGAAGTTTAGAGCTTGAAGAATAAAAAATGGGTGCCTCAGTTCCAAAATTTAGAGTCCTTTCCATCGGCTTGAGTATTCAATCTTTTTATTTGTAATTTTCTTTTTGGCATTGTCCATACTATTTTTAATTTTCATCATATTGGATTCTAGAGTGCCCCACCCAAGTGGCACTTAATCCCAGCAAAAACTACACCTCTTTAATTTTATTTTCGAATCGAGACATTTAAGTAAAAAGTGCCTAAATTAAGAGTTATTTGGCTCATTATATGGGGTATATATATATATATATATATATATATATATATATATATATATATATATATCACAGCCTAGGGTGTTTAGTAAATTGGTTTCAATCCTTACTACAAATTTCACATTTAATAATACTCATACATGGTGTTAGCTAGGGATTTAGTGATTAACCACCTTTGACTAGTCTATCATATCAATAGTGATGGTGTTTTGTTTATCCAATAGTAAAATAATTTATTAGTATTTAGTAGTAAAAGAAAAGGTGCAACTATGAAAATTAGTGCTAGCTAATATAAATGCTAAATGGGTATAGAAATCAGTGGAACATTTTTCTTATGGATCCCTGTTCAATAGCTTTTGATGTTATTAATGTCATATTGACTTTTATGTTGTATTTTAGGAATTGAATTCTATTAGAGTGAATTTCCAAATTTGATTTAGAACGGAATTGCACATGGATGACCTCTGAAAAATTTAATGTTTTGTTTACCCAATAGTAATGAAAAGAAAGATGCAACTAACCACTGAGCTTGGTTTAGTGGCCGCCAAAAAAGACTTACTCCTCTTTGGACTGTAGGTCAAGGATTCTTCACTTAATCGCAATGTTAAAAATTTAAAAGATGTGTCAAAATACTCCTTTGGTCTAGTAGGTTCTTATACTTATTAGTCCTAGATACATAGCCTAAAAAAAAAGAAAGATGCAACTATGAAAATTAGTGTTAGAGGAACGTTTGCATAAAGATAACTTAGCAAAGTATCGGGGGGCATTTGCCATTCACACATTCAGCCTCTCATTTTTCTCAATTGCTTTCCTTAAAATGTGCTAGATAATTTGCAAAATTCTTTGCAGATGGTTTTTAGTAAGTAAATTGACTCTTTTTTTAATAACTCTTTTGAAAAGAAACTGTATAGCATAAATATATATATTTCTTTTCTGTGGAAATTGTTTTAAGCAAAATGTTGGTTTATCTTGTTCAGATATTGCCACTATTTGGCAACAAAGAGAGAGCAGACCTTTTTAATTTCCATCACCTTTTTTATCTTAGTTCGACACTATATAAAAAACTTCTATCATTTTCAGGTTAAACTTTTCCTACTTAGGCTATTTTATTTTTTCCAAACTTCAACTTACGAGTTCAACATTTAGGTTTAGGACTTCAAAAGTTTAAAGTGGAGCAAATCTTGTGCTCCATCTTTTCATCGATACCATTCAATGTTGAACAAGAGTTTTTGCTACTGCCGCTCTTGGCAAATAGAGTATTTGCTTTTTTTTTTCTCTTAAATTTATTTAGTGTAGTAAATGGTATATTAGGATGCGCTTATGATAAACTGTTATGGTCGTTCATCAATTAAACATTAAACAATTGTTATTTAATTGTTAAAGTAAATCTATATTTGATTAATGTTATACAATATTCCTCGATTGGTTATAAGATACTCAGTGCCATAAAATGTTTTTCAATATAGAAATTCAATATTGATATTACACAGAAATCCTCAATAATGTTAGAAGGGCATCAAATATATATTAATATACATATTATAAAACAAAATTGAAATAAGTATATTTATATATATTTATAAATATATATAAATATATTTTAAACAAAATATTTATATTTATATATAAATATATATATTTATTTCAATTGATATAATATATATAATATACATATTAATATACATAATTGAAATAGACATATTAATATATATATATTAATATACATATTATAAAACAAAATTGAAAAAAAAAATATTATATATATAAATAAATAAATATTAATATATATATTATAAAACGAATTTGAAATCAAAAAATCTGATTCCTATTTCTGATTTCAAAAACTCCATTACCGAATTCGAACCAAATTCGCATAATTCGAAATCAAAAATTCCGATTTCAGTACCGACTTCCGAATTACCGATTTCGAAAATTTCGAATTCAATTTCAATTTCAAATTCGAACGGTAAATCAGAATTTTTTGATTTTGCACACCCCTACCCCCTTACCTCCTTCCCCCCAACCCCAAACCCCTCTCCCGCCCGTGGGTGGTGGCTGCGACTTTAGCCACAACCACGACCGTCTTGGTCACGGCTTTTGGTCGCGAGAAAATTTGATCATGACTAGGAAGGTTGCGGTCAGTCGAGGGAAAGGAAATTGGAGGGCGGGGAAAGGGAAAGAAGAAAGGAGGAAAGAGAAGAAGAGAGAGGAGGAGAGAGGGAGGAATTGGAGTGGGCAAAAAAAGAGAGGAGAGAAAGTCGTGGGTGTTGGGGTGGTGGCAGTAAGGTAGTGGTCATGGTGATGCAGAGTGATGGGTAGTTATATATATATATATATATTTTTTTAGATATTTAGAGTTGTTTTTGATATATTGTATGGATATGATGTTTTTAGAATTGTTTTGGTTTGTGTATTACTGTAGCATTGTAGATGAAAAAATTGTTTTTCAAAAAAGTCTAAATCCAAACAGAGCCATCAATTCACCCTTGATTGTACCACTCTTGCACTGCGCGTGTTGGCGAGTGTGTACCAAATTCTGTCAAGTTCAATGATATCTATCCATATTCCAGAATAGTCCAAAGTATAAGGAAGTTGTGCAGGTGTTTTAAACAATGAGAGCCCCTCAAAAAAAAAAAAACAATGAGAGGGTAACCCGAAACCACAAGTGGAATTTTTCATATTTTACGCTAAAAAGAAAGCAGCGGCAAAAGAAAAACAAAAACTCTAGTACAACCATAACTTTTTTTACGTGGGTGCATAAAAAGTCTATTATTCGCCAACCCCCATTGGCAGGTGTTTTTAGAACCAAACTAGATCAGTCAGTTCTACTAGTTCAACCGCGGGCTTACCAGGGCTTCAGTCTGATTCATCTAGGTAGCCGGAAATAACAAAAAAAGGTAAGATCTAGAAAAAAACCGGTGAATCGTACGAAATCGGTTAAATTGATCAGATCCAGCGTTATGTGATTTTTTATTTGAACCCATCCAATTCTTCATTTTGTGAGTATTGGGCAATTGCATTTGTACTATTGGGCTGCAAAAGCCCAAAATACATGTTAACAGCTTCAATATTTAACTTTGTGGGCCAAAAATAAAAGACCCAAATCAACTACAAAAAAGCAGCGAAACCCTCAAATCTCATCAATTCTTCCATGCTCACTCAGACCACCCACAACATCCAGAAGCCATTCAAAGCCACCTACAATGATCATCTTCTACCTTTATTTTCTTTTCTTCTAAATATTCCTATATTTTATATTTATGTGGTGTTAAAATATACAAAAAATATAGATCTGAAAATTTTTTTTTAGCATAGAAGGCTTGTAGACGATGATAAAGACATGATTGAAAATGGAAAAGAAGATGTTGATGAAAATTGGTACTTTAGAGCTTTGTTCTCTTCCATTTTTTTTCTCTTTTCTTTTTGGAGTGATTATCTTGTCGTTTTGAGCATAAGTTTGAAAAATGTAGACACCAGATTATTGTTCAATTTGTGGTATCGACAAATTTTTTTAAAATTTTTTATAACTCCTCAATTTTTTAGTTATTATACAATGAACCTTTTCTCTTTCTTTTTTGAGATGAATTGCATTTTCCTTGTTTCTTTGAAATCTTCCACTATTTTAAGAATTTCTTTCCGTATTGCATATAGTTTCTCGACGTTCTTAATTTTTTATATTTAAAATAATTAATAAATCAGAGAACCTTTGAGCCAGCCGGTTGAACCGATTGGATAGAAAATAATTAGAACCGGACATTCTACAAGTTCGTTCACCAATCCGAGTTTAAAAACATTACCCATTGCTGAAAATAAAGCTAGAAAATAAATAGCAATCTTTTCCCTGAATAGAAATCAATCTTGATCATTTTATTCACATAAGGCTCTCGTTAGCCATTAAAAGATACAAAGCTAGCTTGCTTAGCAACAAATTGATCTATGATCAACTTCAACACGTACGTTTGAAAGGACATCGACTGGGACACACAGATATACGGGATTCCCCAACCGGACCCCAACAATCCGATAAAGAAAGCTTCAACAATTTGAAACTCTCACAGGAATAGCAGCAAGAGGTTCAGCTTTCTCAAGTGAAAGCCCAAACTTATCTTTCATGTCCATATCTTTTGGTTTCATACCATTAGGAAGTTTCCAATCAGAATTATGTACAAGAGTAGCCAACAACAATTTCACCATTCTCACTGCCAGCGGCAATCCAGGGCAAATTCGCCTTCCAGAGCCAAAAGGGATGAGGGATAAATCCCTTCCCCTGAAATCAATGTCTGAATTCAGAAACCTTTCTGGTAGAAATATGGTGGGATCTTTCCAGTAAGCTGCATCCCTCGTGATCGACCATGCGTTCACCATTACCTGAGTATGTTTTGGAATGACGAAACCACAAAGTTGCACGTCTGTCTCGGCAGAATGGATGAGAAGTGGTGTTGTGGGATGGAGTCTCATTGTTTCTTTTAGGACTGCATCTAGATAATGAAGTTGCATGATGTCTGCCTCCTTGACACTAAACCCTGAGCCAACTTTTTCTACAATTTCTTGCTTTACTTTTGCCATTTTCTCTGGGTTGTGAAGAAGCTCTGCCATTGCCCATTCGATTGTGGCAGTAGTGGCATCTGTACCTCCTATAAACAAATCCTGTTGGCTGCACAGAAATATTGTCAATATTCACAGAACAATAATAGGGAAATGTATGGATTACATAGGAAAGTCAACGTCAAATATATCTAATGTCATATCTCATAGTGATAAATTGTAGATACATAGATAAGAATTATGCATTCAGGGTAACAAAAAAGGCTAGTAGATGAATGCAAGGTGCAATTTAAGTTACTAATCTTGTCAAAGAAGATCAAATAAAAAAAAAAGAAAAAAAAAAACAAGAGTAGTGGATGAATGCATCACTAATTACCATGAGCAGTAGTCTAACTTCGGGGAGATCCAGTTCATCCGGGCCATATTGTTCACTATGATCAAGAAGAGCGTCCAAGAAATCTCCTGATCTTTCTATGCCAGAAGCCCTTTGCTTCATCCGGCGATCAATATTGTTCTCAATTAGCGAGTGCAAACCATCATAAGCAGGCTTAATATCTCTTCTAATTCCCTGAGGATCAAATGGCTTTAGAATAGGAAAAAAATCAGCGAGATTTGGCTTGCCAACAAGCTCCAAAATCCTCAGAATCAAATCTTTTAGTTCTTTAACTTCTTTTGAATTTGGATCAAGTACGTCAGCTGAAAATATCATGTTGGACAATAAGCTCAAAGTTGTACCGAACACTAATCTCCCAATATAAATAGCTTCTCCAGCTTCGAAGACACGTTTAAGCATGTTTTCCATCATTTGGCGCCGTAATTCTTGCAATGCATCCAATCTTTGTGAGGTAAAAACTCGACTGTTCAAAAGCTTCGGAAGCTTTTGCCATTGTGCACCTTGTGAAATCCAAATTATGGAACGTTGGATCAGTTTCTGCAGTTGCTGCATCCACGATTGGCCTCATCCAGAAAGCTTGATCATTCTTTTGGAGAGTTTCTCTAGCCATCTCAGTCGAAGATGCAACTACAGTTGTGACACAGCCAAGTTTGATTGTCATGAGTGGACCGTGAATCTTGGCTAACTTGGTTAAGGACTCGTGGGGTCTGTCACCTAATTTGAGGAGATTCCCAATAATTGGGAGGCCTTTGGGGCCCGGAGGAAGCCTCTTCTGCTTGTTGATTGATCGTTTTGCCATGTAAAGCAAGATGGAGGTAATGCAGAACAAGAGAGGTGACAGGAGAAGTAAACTCTTAATCTCCATGGCCAACTTTGAGGATACTAACTGGAATATTTGGTTATGCTATTGCTAGTTGGGTGTCAAACCAAGGCCTTAAATAAAAGATGACATGAAGTGTTGATTGGTTATTTTTTCCTCAAAGAAAGAAGGGCCTGATCCAACCACCGGGTGCTTGCTTGCCTCATTTCTGGGTCTGAAGGATGCTTTCTAAGACCGGACGAAGACAAAATTAGAGAAGTTTAGCAAGTTAGGTGGGTGATGGCTGTTTCATTAGCTGGGGAACAGCAAAGCAATACGAATGATACCAACAACTATGTACTATAGAACAAGGATGCAAAACTTAAAATACATGAAGTTACAAAACATGCATATAATATAAGGGCTTAAATAATTGGTGACATACTTTTAAGATGATTGTTCAACACTCTTTCAGTGCATATATCTGTAAAATGCACACAAAAAAAATAACAAAATTAATAATGCACTTCAAAATTTACGTTCAGTTTTATCCATTGAAAGAATGAGTGTATAATCAATTGTTTGAACCACCACAAAAAAAAAAAAAAAAAAAAAAGCTCTTACTCCTGTACCCAGAATTTGCAATATTGTAGCACATTAGCCTATGTCTCTATATGTAGCTGGCATCTTTCCTTCTGAGTTCTGGCAAACCGAACAAAGCGTGTTATAAGTTTCATTAGCAGTACTGTGTGTAGTGTGTATATTGTGGTGTTCAGCTCTAGAGTAGTAAAAAGGTGTCAAGGGATTTTTTTTTCTGGGCCGGGGGAGGTGTTGAAGATGATAGAAACCTCATTAGGGACAATTGTACATAGTCTTCAGCACAATAGGGTGATTGATATATTTACAAACATCGTCATTTCCTCATAAGATAAGCAGGGGTCCGATAAAAGATATTGGGATAGAACACATGCGGGCAATATTACACTTAATTTCTCTGCCTAAATTCCAAGTGACAATTGGAGAACATGGCCAGGAGCTCCAAATGTTTTAACAGGCATTTTTGGGGCAAGTCTTGTTTGGGAGTGATTGAATGAAGTGCAAGCCATTTTTTTCCAAAAATTTTATATTTTTCGTGAACATATTTGTCAATCGCATTTTTATTTTACACATATCAAATCATTACAGTATATTTTTTTATAAAAACTTTAGAAACTAGCAGTCCAAACGGGTTCTAAACATCTTAACTAAGCAGCCTTTGTTTCGGTAGGAAAATTTATATTAAAAATTCTCCGCACAAAAGCGAGTTTTTCCTTGGGGGAACCCTTTTTAATTAATGGCGGAGGAAGCATCCTATTTAAATTAGAGCTAAGAGCGGCTATTAGGGATTCATGCCTATTTATTAGTCCTTCTGTCTAGGCATCGAGTCATAGGAAATCTCATCCTGAAAAGGAAAGTTAGGAGTTTCACCAAGGCGTTACTTACTCTTTTTTTTTTTTGTGGGAAAATAGAACTAAAACATAAAGATCCTGGACCTTGGCAAAGTAAATTTCTCAATGATTTAGTGATTTAGTTTTCTCTTTCCAATAATACCCTTATTACATATTTTCTTGACTTCATAGTACCTTTTTTATGGATGCCTGTTCAATATCTTTTGAGGTTATTTATGTAATACCGATTTTGATGCTGTATTTTAGGAATAGAACTCTATTAGAGTGACTTTAACGTTTTGTTTACCCAATAGTAAAGTAATTTATTAATAATAAAAGGAAAGGTGCAACTATGAAAATTAGTACTAGATAACATAAATGCTAGGGGGAGGAATTAATGGGTTAGGTGGTACGGGGGAGGGAGTGTAAGCGTGAGGTCTCGGGTTCGACTTCTCTTACTTACACCATATTAAAAAAAAAAAAGATAACATAAATGCTAAATGGCTGGAGAAATTAGTGGAAAGTTTGCATGAGGACAACTTAGTGAAGTAATCAAGGCCATTTGCCATTTGCCATTCGCATGTTTAGCCCCTCAATTTTCTCAAATGCTTTCCTTATCAGGTGCTAGATAATTTTGCAAATTCTTTACAAATGGTTTTTAGTAAGTAAATTAACTCTTGTTTTAACCTTTTTCAAAGAAACCTTAACGCATAAATATTTACTTCTCTTCTGTGGGATTTTCTTTAGCAAAATATTGGTTTATCTCATTCAGACATTGCCACCGTTTGGCAATAAATAGAGAGCAGGCCTTTTTTTTTTTCTTTTTTATCTCGATCATCTTTTTATCTTGCTTTGATGTTGTATATAAAAATTTTACCATCCTTTTAGGTTAAACTTTTCCTATTTAGGCTATTCTGTTTTTTCCAAACTTTAACTTATGAGTTCAACGTTTAGATTTAGACTATCAAAAGTTTAAAGTGAAGCGAATCTTATGCCGCTCTTGGTAAATAGAGTAGAATTTACTCTTTTTGTTTTTCCTTAAATTTTTTGATGCAGTAAATGATATATTAGAATGCATTTATGATAGACTTTTGTGGTCATTTATTAAATGTTAAACACAGTTGTTATTTTAATTGTTAAAGTAAATTTATTTTTGATTAATATTATTCAATATTCCACGATTGGACATAGTTTAGTGTCATAAATGTTTTTCGAATATAGAACTTCATTATTGATATTACAGAAAAATCCTCAATAATGTTAGAAGGGCATTAAATTTGGATACACAACATAATCTTCATTATTTTATGATAAGGGTATTGTTAGAAAAAATTAAAACACTATATATCCAAATCAAAATTGCTCTTCATTTTCCATTGTTTCATAGGCAATAATGACCAACCTATGTCAACCTTGTATTTCATTATTATAGACTCTCTATTTTTTTTTTTTTTGGTAAAGGAAAAAGTTTAGAAAAGGGGGGAGATTACCCTATCCAGAGCATGTCATTGGTACACTTTTTAATGTTGATTGGGTTTTACAATAAACTACATCAATTGTCAGACCTTGACATAATCTAACAATAAGGATGAGTAACCAATAGGCTTATTTATGAAATATTTTGTATAAAATGAAACAATCTCAACTCTCAAGCATGGTTTCTATATTGATATTATCCCTTGATATTGAAAACGGAGAGCTACTCCCACCCTAAACCAATGGTGGGCATTAACAATGTTTGTCTATCTCTGAAAATGAAGAACTAAAGGTTTTGGATTTTGATTTTTCTTTTTCTTCTATTCGAGACAAAGATTAGCACTACTCAAGATTAGGAAGACCAAACTAGCTACAAACAAATATCCTAGAAACATAGGTTAAAAGTAAATTCAATCATTTTTCCTTCTTTATTAATCTCCAATGATTTGCATGCAAAAATAACTTTCTTATGTTGTTAGACAAGATTATGGTCCAAATTATTCAAATTATCCAGCAAAATAATATGCAGATGAAATTTCATAAAGATGCATACTTGTATGTTATTTTCCTACAACCTTACATGCACTTTACTGTTATTTCCTCATTTCAAAATTTAGGAAAAGCAATTAAACTTATTTTGTTTGATATCAATAATAACTTATAGAATGTATGAATTAGAATTGGTAATAGCTTTCTCAATTGATCTTCTAATTACAAATTCTTGGTTTTGAATCTCTCTCTCTCTCTCAATTCCCTTTTGTTTCTCTAGGAGCTTCATTTTTGGCATTATCAATATTAATTACTTATATTGGCTTGTGTTCTTCTATAAAAATAACATATTGCTTTTTCATATGGATTTGAATTAATAATGATGAATCTGCATTTAATTTCCTCGTGCAATATATGATTTGTAATGAGATTATGAAATTTCCTTATGAAATGTTAGGTTTGGAGTAAGTTATGCGAATGTTAATTTCTCAAAAAAAAAGAAGAAAACTAAACAAGAGAAAAAAAATACACGTTCTTTCCTTAAATCAAATTGCAAACAAATTTGTGAAGTAAACCACAGTTCAATGCCCAATAAAATAATGTAGTCAACTTTGATATTTAAAAGATTGGTTGTTTATACTACCCAGAGAAACTAACTCTATCAATGCATTAATTGGGGTCAAGTGATAAAAAGAATAACTCGAAAGCAATGGAAGAGCAAGGGAGTTTAGAGGAGGAGAAATTTAGAATGTGAGCTCAAAAGATATAAAGAAACATAACTGAACAATATGGAAGTTGAAGAACAGAAATACTAGTTCACAACTTTCATCTTCTTCAAAGTTAGTAACCTATTTTATGTACATTTTTTATAATTTAAAAAAATTTCAAGATCAAAAGTCAAAAGTTGCACCAATTCCTAAGAGTTCATATTTCAAAATATAATAATAAATAACATTAAACACATTTGGCCTAAATCCATAGAGGTATTATTTTTTTTAAAACTTATTAGATTTTGTGGCTCTTCAATTTCTTAGATAAAGTACATTCTTAAAAACAAATAAATTCGTACAGACATGACCAACAACGTGGAAGGCACGTGTTCCCGTACTAGTACTCCAAAAGCTGTAAAAAGTGGCTACTATCCAAAGCAGGTATTGATTTCTTTTTTCTTTTTTTTTTTTGCTTTTTCATTATGATCAGATTTTCAAGTACATGAAATTAAGGAATCTGGAAGTAAATGAACTCAAATTATGTTGAATCAAGACTATACCAGGAATCCACTTGTTTAAGCCTCGCTTTATCCCTCTTTCTCTTTCTAGATGTAGACTGAGGTAGATTAATGTTACGAGGTGTTTACTTTCCTAACAAACCACACATGTAATGGCACTAGTAAGCCACGCTACCAGTCAGCCTACACAACTCACTTACACACAAGTATTCAGAACGTAGAATACTTAGGCAAAATAAAGGAACGCATGCACAAGTTACAGCCAACACGGCCAATCCTGTATTTCACAATAACGGTTACAAGGAATTTCTACAAACACCTGGCGTGCAGAATATCTAAGGGTGATTCTTACTAATTGAGAACTCTCTCTCCTTTAGTCTCTGCCTAACCCGTTATTTATAGGCACAGTTACGGTTGACAAAAGACCCAACCGCTGGTCTTATCTG